TCGAGCTCAAATTTGTGACTTCAGTATTGCATGGTCACTCTGCAGCTTCCTGCCAGAGAGGCCAGCAACACGGCCAGGCCTCCAACAGCAGGGTGGTGTCGGTGTTTGCTCTGGTAAGTAAAGTTAACATTTTGTAACTTCAGTCGTTAGTCACGTGATTTTTTTTTTTTGTTATTTTAGTGACGTTGGCCGGTCAAGTTAATGTCAGCAACGCTCTTTTCCTCAACCTAACTAAGTGGTTTTGTTGCCTTAACCTAACTTTCTGTGAAGACATACGTTTATTTTGAAAAGACACTATGCATGTAACGAGCGTTTATCGGCATGCTGTGAGTGACGTGCAAAACTGACATTAGAGTTACATAGAGCATCATAGTTTGAAGCTGAGGAGCACTGACCAAGCTACATTTTTTGACACATTGGTGTGAGAATGTGTTAAAATGTCTGGCTTAACATCATCAAGTTTTTAAAGATTTGGGCATTTGATGTCATAAAGGCAAGCAAGAAGTATACGTTTGATGGCTGGAGTTGTTGGACTGCACAAATAACTGTTTCATTGTATCACCTGACGGAAGGAAAATATGTAAACAGAAAACAACAGAGTGCCCAAGAAAGCAGAACATGAGTCTGCTGTGACAACAGAGAAGCTTATGTTATAGAAGGTATGAAGTGAATACAACAGGGATACAACTGTACCCTTAAGACCAACCCAAGTTTCCAGGTGATGCGGGAAAGCAGAGAGATTAATCTATCAACAGCAGCTCTAAAATCTAAAAAGACGTGAAAAAAGTCTGTCAAAAGACGATCATTATAGCGGCCTTGACAAAGCCGTCTCAGTGCTTTGGCTGTAAAACCTGACGTTTCAAACAATTCAGCGCTGGATCCTCACAATGATATGAGGGCCAGAGTGAACCTGTGCTTCTTCCCCAAATGAGGCCTTCTGGCTTTCCAGACACCAAAAAAAAGTTAATGAGGATTGCCTGACTGCCTCTCAGACCTTTGCAAAATGATTTATTGGATTTTTGCAAAACAGGAATTGTTGGTCTTTCTTGCAGGTCTATCTGCCTCAGATCCACAGTACTACAGGACACACCTACTACAAGAAGCCCTCAAAACGGTCACAGTTTGGTTAGGTTTGGGGACCAAAATGTTTAGGCAACAAAACAATTTTGTTAGGTTTAGGCACTTCATGGTTTGGGTTAAAATAAGTTTAATTATTTCATGACTCTGGATTGATTCTAGTCTGGTTAACTTTGTGTTTTGGATTCTGCTGCAGGCTGATTTATGAGAAGGAATTAAGCCAAACCGCATGTATATGTCATCTTAAGTGTGACATGAGAGGAATATAATTGGAATGTATTGCCTGTCATCTGATGTACAATACCCTCTGATAGAGCAGGAACTGCCCATTAAATTTTTGGGGGATTCTCGGAGGACAAAATGAGAGAAATCTTTGTGTTTGGTTTCTTGAAGCCAAACCGATGTCGATACTTAGATTGCTCTGCTGAGCATCAAACAGAATCTGTTAGGTAAAACTATCTCAAATGTAATTATTTTCATTACTTCAATAATACATGTCCTGGGAGAGGGTGATGTTTTGAATGATTTCCAAATTCCAATTTTTATTCAGAATTGTAAATCTTCTACTTTGGTAGCCTAATCATTAATAAGTAAATGCAGTCTCATCACTACTTTAATCACTGACTAAGTTAATGCTTTTTTTTGGAAGTGACAGTATAAAGAAAGGTTATTTGCTTGTTAAGTGATATCCTCAGCACCCAATCTGGTGACATCCCAATAGTTCTGGTATTATTTAGTATTATTAATGACAAGAAACTATCAAAATTACACATTAATGCCACTACAGGTGGAAAAGGGAATTTCTTGGCGCCAATCTGACTGTGTCTGTCCACTGGCAAAGCAGCGCGGAACAATCTTATGTTATGGTGACTGAAATCTGATTTGAGGGAGAGACAGAAAATGCTGTGTGGCTTACAAAGACTGTAAACAGAGAGAGAAGGACGCTTCAAATTGGGCCCGGAGTCTTCTGGAGAATAATTAGCGTGACATTTCCCTGACATTTAGTCGGAGGTATAGTGGAGGAGCCTGAAGAGGGGAGGAAGGAAGCGGAGATATGAGCCAGTGAGGTAAAAAGAGAGACCGGAAGGATGACAGAGCAGAAAGAACACGGGCAGGATTTTTCCCTGCACATCTTAACAAATAATTCAGTTACTACGTGCTTTCTTGTGTTGCTCTATATGCAGACATTAAAATATGGGAACTAAGCAGAGGTGCACTTACACACACAGACACACAAATAGACTTACTCTAATGTGCAGTACCCACTCCTTCAGTGATGATAAAATTATACTTTTGTTGCTTGGTATCCATTTGTTTTGTGCTTAACTTTACCATCCACCATCTGTTTATGAGCTGTTAGACATACATTCCTATCTCTGACCCAAGATAGGGAGCACACAGCTGATGGACATTGGGACAATCTGTGGTCGGAGCTGGACCGCTCGACAAGCCCACAGTGTGCTCCAGACTATAACATCAACATCTTTTTAGTAGTTTGGTCTGTGGTTTCACATTGCCCTTTAAAGCTAATTAGGAATTGGTAAACTCTGCCTCTTGCAGTGTCAAGGTTGCTCTTTTTTCTGGCACGCCATCTTCCGCTATAGGCTCATAATGATGCCAAGAGAAGAGATGATGAACACTTTTTTTAAATGGTAAGCAAGCACTGCACCCACTCATCCATTGGTTGTTATTGAGAGCTATAGATTAGCAGGAAACAATATGCACACGCACTTTGCCAATGACTTTGTCATTATTCACGCATCTCTGTGAAGCACTTCAAAACTGTTCTCCAGTGATGTTTTGATAAACTGCAGATATCAGGGTGCTATAATGGAGACAGCAGCACATGGCCGACTCGGAGTGATCATCTCCTTTTTTCTAGGCTACTGCACTTCCTTAGCTCGAACACAATAAACATTGATTTTACATCTCTTTGATTCCTATGAAGAAGACGTTTCACTGACAGACTTGCACCACTCATCTCTCTCTCTCTCTGTCTGTTTGTAGGGCGGCACTGACAGTTCTCTAGAAATCCTTACCACAAAGCATCAGCCAGCACACACTGCTAATAGTTTAATTTCCAACACATTTCCCAAACAAGGCACTCCACTCCCTTTTTAAAATCGCGTCCAAAAGAGACAGCATCCTCTTTGATCCCTCCAAGCCAATGTAGAAGAGTGTTGATCAAAGGCTGCTCATGTCTAACTCCGCTGTGGTCTCCCAGGTTGCAGCTGCGGGCCAACTCTGTGTTTTTGCAAAGACTAAAGGTGAGCACACCTGATAGAAATCAGCACACTATGGCATGCCTTGAAGATAAGAAAAATGTCTTGCAGAAGGATGATAACCTTGACATCTAATTATGACATTCAACAGAGAGATGTTACAAACAAAATACAGGGTTCCTAAATTATACTGAAAATAAATTGCTTAAGTAAGGTTTGACAACTTTCTGACATACAGTAACTATGAGATAAACTAAACAGTTACGAACTAAGGTTTTTTAGGTTAACATTTACCTTTTACTGTAGCTGTATATTGAAATATGTACAGTAATGCCATGTCACAACCACCTTCTATTGATCAAAAAATGCTCCTTCAAAGCATTGACTAATGCAAATGATTCTAACAACAATTCCAAATCAGTTCTGGCTTGTTGTTTATGTGCACGAAGATCTAATTCAATATCCTAGCCTCCTGCAGTATATCTCAAGTTCATTTGGTTCAGGATGATGTAGGGTGGGGTTCTCACAAACAAACAACTGTCCAGAGGACAAACAAAATAAATTACTTATATGTATTTCATGTTGTAAGCCAGAGCATCTAAGTGATATTTGAATGATTTACTGGATTTAATGAATTTACTGGATGACCAGTTTACAAGGTGAGACAAAGTGTAAGCATGCATGTGTGCATGTCTGGATGCTTGTGCATTTGAATATCTGTGTGTTTGCAGAAGTTAGTGGTGAGTGAGTATATGATCAGGTAGCTCACATGTTTTCAAAAGCGAGTTAATGATATGGCAATGACCCTTTGTTACAAGTCTGGTAATAAGAGTAGAACAGGAGATAGATGATGAATCTTGTGTCATGCGTTAAAGATGCATCCAGAGAGCTGCTTTTGCTGTCAGACTAAGACGTGTTTTTTTTCTAGTTCTTGAACAACAATAATGGCAGATAATAACGCACACATCCCAAACTGATAAATCACATCCGCTGGCTGGCTTTTTCTATAATTTCCACTCTATACTTTGTGTTCCAACCGTGGAACAATCAAAGCATGAGTAAACAACGAAGCACAACTCACAGAGGTGTCCTAATTGACTCATTTTGTGCAACTGTAAAATTCTAGTAGGTCTGAAAATGGCAAATTTTCATAGGTGCAAAACCTCTCTTTTCCTGTTTTGTTTTTTTATGTTAGGCCTATTGATAGATATTCAGTGGTCTAGAAACTACAGCATCCAATGTTAGTTCAATTCAATCTGCCACAAACAACTTAAGGTGTCGATCACACTGAGACGCGTCGCATCAGGCGCTGCCTCTTCAAAAAACGACCTTTGGCAAAGTGACGGGCAAAAGAGCTGTATATAGTTCATCCTTATTAACTATCGCTAATATCAGTATCCGTTCCTACCACATTTACCGGCATTAAAACAGGAAGCCAGTGGTAAAGTAGTAAAGCCCGCCTCTTGCTTGATTTGATTGATGTGAGCAGGTATAATGTTTATCATGTTGATCATTTTAGATTTGCGTGTATGCATGCTAACATTTGTTCATTTGCACTAAAACAACAGGAATGTCATTAGTTTTGCAGGTTTCATGTGTGTTTGTTTGCGTGTGCCTTTACAAATCATCATCATACTCGTGGAGGATTGCTCCAACCAATCCCAACCTCATCTCTTACACCCATCATCCAAAGACGGTTACCTTTGCTGCAACAGATGAGCCTGGCTTTTCCAGGAGGTCCCAAAGCTTCTTTCGTTTTTCGGCACAGCAAGTGTTGTCAAATTCTTCTCCATCTATGTCCTTCATGTTGTCGGCCTCTCGCTTGAGCTCCTCATTCATTTGCTCCTTCTTCTGGTGGTACCTAGCCTGGCAACACGACTCTAGGTAGATCTCGTCAATGCCCCAGTGGTCGAGTTCTTGACTGAACGACAGGGCGCACATTTCTTCCATCATGTGCAGCTTACCCGTGCGGTAGAAGTTCAGAATTGACGTGAACGCCCCTGGATGTCGGTCAAAAAAGTACTCGTTCTCCTCGAGGTTGTAGTCATCGCACACTTCCATCAGAGATTCATGGGTGTTGCAATCTCTTAACTTTCCCAAACGTGTTCGTGGTAGCCTATCTAATGTTCGCCACAAAACCTCATGGGGGAGACCCCCAACATTCAGCCTGACTCTGCGGAAACATGACTTGCTGCGAATGATGTCCACCGGTTCAGGTGGCAGCGATGATGTTGAGCGGGAGCCGGCTTTATTTAACTCTGCCAAGGATTTCTCCATGATGACTGTAGGTTGAGGAATCAGGCAAACATCCAGGGCTATGGACTAGAGTTGGTCCTGTTTTCTTTCATAATTGTATCTAAAGGATTAAAAAACAAACATTAAGAAATCATTAGTATTTTAGGATTAGCCTCAAATTTCAAGGCGCACACCTCACTAATCTGACTCTTAAACAAGCAGTGGAGTAGTAACCGAAGCGTAGAGAGCCAGAATAAATGAGTAAAATTAAACAACTTAATACTTCATCAGCACAATACTGTCGCAGTGTAGGATCCATGGGTCAATTGTATTATCTTTGAGAATTTCACTAATATCTTTTTTGAATTTGTTTTTAAGTTATTTTTTAATCAAAAATAAATATACCGTAAGACTCAGATTCATGTCATGAATCAACAATAAACATACCCTAAGATGTGGGTCCTTGAGATGACTCACTTATATTTGAGGCTAAGAAGAAAAATATTAGGGAACCATGAATAACACCTTGTTGAATACTCGCCACCAAAACTTCAGAACGAACTTGCACTGGCCTATTTCTGGAGACTGATACAATATTATCATCAATAAAATATTTATAGTATTTGGTTGATGGCGGCTCATGTGACGCCCATGCAGCCCTGTGGGTGGGGACGCAGGACGCCGCGGTGATGAGTGTGGTACAAAGTGAGCGCTGTCCACTCTAATGGTGCTGAAACACCAGGAAGCGCTGTTAACTCCCTACATCACGGCGTGCTCACTCGGGAACGGCAGGCTGACACTGAAAAGAAAATACATAGCCTACATCATCTCCTGACAAAATATGTCCAACGTTTTCTCATCTGCCCCTGCCTGTAGACGTGGGCACGAGCTGCACATTTGTTTTACAAGCTGTTAATATTGTTTATGTCTGTGTGATGAGAGCGTGGAAGCCCAACAACACCTCGGGCCTGCAGATGTGATCATTGATAGCCGTCACACAAAGTTTCCAACAGTTCACAAGCACAATTAGGGCCGAGCATTATGTCAACATACAGCACAAAGCACATCGAAAATAAAAACATGAACACGGGGTGTATAATGGAGGATGGAGACATTGCTATGTTGGGTTTTTGGACATGCAGTAAGAGGCTGCGGGGAAGCAGTAAAAATAAATGTTAATTTGAAGAAGCCTCCACCCTCCTGTTTTCTCCTGAAGTCAATGCCTCGATAAAATCCTTTAGCATTAAGCTTAACAAAGATTATTCATCCCTGTCTTCACACTCTACTGTTATGCGCAGCTAAATTGTTACTGAGAATAAGCTCATTGTGATGTTGAATCATCTATAATTGCAATGTTGTGAACGCAAATCCTCCATCGTTAAGCATTTCGTTTGTCAAAGGCTGCCTGCTCCACATTGATGCAGTTTCAATGCAGAGTATTCCTAAATGCCTCTCATAATCGAATACGATTGATAGGTTACATATGACTCAAAGCCAAATAAGGTTAAAAGAAATACCGTAGTGAGTTGTTGTCATCCTGCACTGAAACAAACCAGCACGTACCGCTCCGTGTACAATCAATCCGCTGGCACAAACGGAGATGAAGCAGTAGCATTTTTTTTAAAAAGGAGACGACGTTATTGGTTTACTATTGCCATGGTCTAACCCAATTCATTCCCCCTCCTGTGCCTCCGACATGGCAGAGAGATCCTCAGCACGATTTACTGCCTACCCGCCGGTTTCCTGCCCCGCATATCGCAGTCAGGGTTTCGCCTTGAAGATCAACAAGTATGCCCGGAGTCCATACGGACAGACTACCTGTGTTTCCCAGTCAGCTGTGCGAGGAGGCGCCGCATCTCTCTGAAAGTGAATCCATGGCTTCTCAGCACTGTCCTCCACATCTGATTAACTCTTTCAGCACCGCGCCTTAACGTCTGCGTGTGTCAATAAAAAACACTTATGGGCACTGTTGTTGTGTTGTTGTGCTTAGGCCGAGGTGTACGGTTAGATAAAGGCATCATGTAATGATAGTGCACATAAAAGATGGATGAGTAAATGTATGATCATGCGATCTGAAGGCACAGAGCGAACAACAAGGATAACCAAAGGGATGGTACATGTTTAGAGAAAAGGCTGTAATGCTGCTTAATATGATGAGAATAGCTGGGTTTACCCTCCTCTTATCTCCACATATAAGCAGTAGTAGAAGAAGTATTCAGACATACATTACATTGTAGAGTGAAAATACTCCAGTGCAAGTAAAAGTCCTGCATTCAAAATCATACAAGGTAAAAATACCTAATGTACCAATATTAAAAGTACTCATTCTGCTGAGAATGGTCTTTGTGAGTGTTATATTATATAAAAGATTACTAGACTGTTGTAGTTGGAGCTAGTTTTAACTATAAGGTCGGGTGATTTAGTCCAGTGGTTCCCAACCAAGGGATTGAGCCCCATCCGAAAGATTACGTGACAAATCTGGCGGTGCAGGAGGGACACGAGAGATCTTCAGTCAGCCTTCAGATCAATTATCAGTGTATTTTCAATTATCAAATCCTCCTTCTTCCACCTTCGATAATCCTCCTTCTACCACCTTTGCAATATTGCTATGATCCGGCCTTCTTTCACACATCCTGCTGCTGACACATTGATCCACACCCTGTCTTGATAATTGCAACACACTCCTCTATAGCATCAGTGCTAGCTCCATCAACAGACTCCAACTGGTCCAGAACGCATCTGCCAGACTTCTAACCCACACCAAACCCTGGCACCATATTACACCTCAGTACTCAGAAACCAGTGGCTCAACTAAAAACATCCTGTTCTTCACCTTCAAAGCCCTTCACCAACTGGCCCCCACCGAGTGGAGTTTGAGTTCTTGAAAAGCACTATACAAATCTAATGTATTTTTAATGTTATTATTATCACTATTATTATTATGTGCGCTGGAGGTTTCAAGTTTCACATTTCGATAAGTTGCAAAGTGCTTCCAAACTAGTTGTGAAACATTTAAAACTCACATTTAAAGAGAGTTTTCTGAGTGAAGGGGGACTTAAAAGCCTATGAATGTTCAGCTAGGTGTTGCCCAAAGTATGGAAGCAAAAATAAAAAATGAGATTTACTGTATGTCAGGTTTACTTATGTTTTTCCTTTTTTATTGAAAATATTAATAACAAACAAGTTAAATTTGATACATAGAGTCACTGAGTAAATATAAAATGGTAGCAGTGCTTCAGTACATAAAACAAATGCTTTATCAATGAACAATTTTACAATTATGTACAGTTAATCAAATTATTGAGTCACATTTCACGCAGTGTCCTCTTCAGTCTGAATCGGACCTGCAGATCTCCGTCCGGCTGAAGCATCCCAAAGCCGTAGCGACTGGGATTAACTGGTGGCAGTGTAGCCTCTGGGTCACACATCTCCAGATCAAGATAGGTCAAGAGCAAGAACACAAATCTAGAGAAACAGGAGGCAGAAGCAGTTTAGAACAACAACAGACCTCCCACTCATAAACACGACTTATAAGACGATAACAATATTAGGTTTCACTCATTACGTTAAATGCAGAAATTATGTGAAAATCACATCAAGTAAATCAACCAATCTGAAATAAAGAGCAAAAAGCCTAAATAAATACCTGCTCTGTTTGTGTGTGTTGTGCATTACAAGGATTGACCTTTAACTGCTACTGGATCTGATGTCTGAAAAAGGCACGCTCTCCGAAATGACTGTCCATTACCATTTTCATAAAGGTCAGCCCTAAGTCAATTTTTACTTGCCCCTACAGACACAAATTATTATATTTTATTTATTAGCGGTTATTAAATAACAAAGTCTAAAGATAATTGCCATGTTTAATGTTTATTCAAGAAAATAAATCTGGAGTTTTCCCCAAATCTAACACCACCCAACTCAAGTTTCCAGGATACTTGAAATGCTCGCTTACACTTCAATTCATAAAATGTCTTTACTGGCCGCCATTTTCTCGCAGGTGCCCTATCGGTAATGCACATGTGCAACGAGATGAAAAGGGGCCGAGATGGCTCTCTCCTTAGCTACATCCATCATCAGCTCTGGAAAAGGCTTCTTTTTTTTTACCACTTGCTCGATCAGGCAAGTGACTTGCAAGATTTACTAGCCTGATGTGGCATTTTACTTGCCCGGGGCAAGCGGGCCATCCTTGTTGTTGAACCCTGCAGTTCATTACAGAGTATAACCGATTATTATATTACAGCTTGTTGCTAATAATGACAGGAAAAGGAAGCAGGACTGACAAAATAATAGAGGAAAATGTTATGTGGAGATATACTTTGCTGGTCCTGTAATTGGGGTGAAATTGCAGGAAATGCTTTGATCATTAATGTATCATTATAAAACCATCAATGGGCCATTGACAGATAAAGAGATTGAAAAGCAGTGGATTTTTTACACTCACTGTTTAATGGCTGTAACAGCAAACTCTTTCCCAACACAGATGCTACTCCCTGCACCCCAGGGCATGGTGTAGTACTTCAGCATTTTTCCATCTTTGTAGAATTTATCCTTCACTGTCATATCATCATTTAAGAAGCGGTCATACTTGAAAATCTGTTAAGAGGAGACAAGAAAATAAACAAACATGAAGGCATAAGATGTGTGCATTATAATATCATGACAATAGGTTTGATCCTATGTCTCTTGCTCTATTTCTTGTTAAAAACAATATGGAAGTATCTTCTTTATGAATGCAAAAAACTTGCATAAATACTTACATAATATGTAATTATCACCTCTAACCACTGTACGACAAATAAACAGAATGAACATTGGGAATTGATCTCGCTCTATTGCTAGTCAACTTCTACTTGTTTCATTTGTAGGCATTTAACAGCTCATCCCAAAGGATGTATTCTGTTAGTAATTTAAATCACACTGCTTAATCCTGCCTCCTCAAGATTGCTTTGTGCTCAACAATATGGCTTAGAAATATCCCAACGGAGGTACACAACTATATGTATTGTGACGGTGGAGGCTCTGTATACCACTAAATGTTAAGTGATAACAGCATCTCATGCACGTCACAAGAATAGTTTTTCATGCTCGTGACGTTAATGCTAAGTACCTGTGGTTCTTGATGTATCTGTGGGTCCAATTGAGGGCTGAGGAAGGGGAACAGACAAACTCTGTCCCCCTTTCTGAGGTGGTAGTCCTGTCCACTGGCCATGTGCAGGCTCTTGTCCTGCACCACCTCTCTGCTTATCATTACCGCAGCGGTGAGCCGTAGGGTCTCGGTCAGAACGCTGTCTGCAGAATGGAGAAGACAGCAGAGTGGATGATGTCAGACGGGTGTCAGTGCGAGTTAAATCAGCCCTCGGGCTTAATTTGGAGAGGTACAAACATTTGCACGGAAATTGAATATATGAAAAAAGGCAATCATTACTTAATTGAATCAAAGGTGAAACTTGTATTGTCGCTGTCATTGTTTCAGCACGCTGCACTTATCTTGTTCATATCAACAAGTCAAATACGCCTTTGATTCCACCTTACTGGAGTGGCTAAACCTCTAGCTATAAGAGTAAAGTAAGCGAAAAGGGGCTGCTAGCAGCTGTTGCGTACCAAGCACAGGTGTGCTGTGTGCTTCCAGCAGGGTGATGGGAGAGTGCTGCAGGGTGGTGTCGCGGAGAGTGAGGCCTCTGATCTCCGTTTTAACAGCCTCCATGGCCTCAGGGTGAGTGAGCAGGAAGCCAAGGAGCCAAAAGGCTGCAGGTCCAGCATTGCACTTAAAGAAAAACACCCAAACTTAGCAGAAACTCAGTCCTTTATACAAGCTTCTAGTATAAACAAACGTTGCAAAACTTTTACATTTTGTATATGTGGACATACAATGCATTTAATATGGAGGTACTCAATATGGAGCTCTCTGTAATGCTGCAGTCTGAATATGACTGATGTGAGGAGGAGGAGGTGAATCAGTCCGCATACTTTGTAGACACTGCTGTCGGCCGCTCGAGAAGAGACACCTGAGCCTGTCAGACAGTAATTGTTATGGGCTAAGGCTGTCTAACCTCTGCACGTCTCAGGTCAGCTCTCCATTGACAGCCAGGGCAAATACCCAAAAGCAACTTAAGGGGCAACACGGTGACTTTCTGCCCTCTAAGATCTTCAGGTCAATCATCATAATGATATGAGCCTGGTAACCTAAACCCAGGGTGGGTACTTTTAAAGGAATAGTTCAGCATTTTTGGAAATATGCTTAGAGAGTTAGATGAGATACCACTTGCATGTCTGTACATTAAATATGTAATTACTGTAGTTGCAGTTTTTACACTTTTTGAACGGATTAAACAAACAAGATTAACATGTTGATTGGGAAACTTTAGAAGTGCCGGTAGGCAGTTTTTGTTATTTTGTACAGAGCCAGGCTAGCTGTTTTCAGTGTTTATGCTAAACTAAGCGGACCAGCTGCTGCCTCCAGTTTCATATTTAGCGCATAGACATGAGAGTGGGTTCAACTTCCTCATCGAAACACTTAGTAACTCTTGACTACGCATATTTCCTAGATTGTTAAACTATTCCTTAAGGGTATAACTTTATTCTCTGGCAGCTGTATACTCAGAAAAGCTGGGAGTGCATGACTAAAACTGAAACAACTAAAACGAATGAATTATACATTAAAATGATTGCTTTAAAATACATGTGTGGGCATGAGAGGGTACAGGCACCTCAACACCTTAAATCACCATCTCCTCTAAAAGGAAGGTAACTAATAAATCAATTTCAGTTTATTGATGTTTCAGTCAATGAAAATTATTGTTTAAAAATGAAAAATAAAACAGCTACCACCAGCCTGTGTGGGACTCAGGATGAGGTGGTGGTTTTGCTGAAATCCCAGCATTGCCTGTAACAAACGTATAAGCCACATTCACTCTGGCACGTCCCGCTGGACTCGCATCTAATGCCTCTATTCTCTGCAGTGGTGCTCCAGTTTCCTTCCCAGACTGAGAGTGTGTGCTCGAATATCCCAGCAGACATGATAAAGTACAAATAAACATGCTGGGGGGGGGAATAGCGGTCTTTCCCAAACCAGCAGAGCATCTTAAAGAGCCTGCCGTGGGTGGACAGGCAAAGGTTTCTCCTTGTTACTGGGTGAACAATTATTGATCCAGTGAGACTGGCAGGTAAATAGAGGGCTGAAGCTTTTACAGCTAAGATGTAGCATAGAGGAACAGCAGACATCAGGACAATCAAACAGCTTGCTGTCTCCTCCACCTGGCAGCACAGAGCAATTACACCATGTTGCTCTAAACGTGTCGGGCCTGGTGAGGTTGACGAAGCAAGAATTCTGTATTCACACCTATTGTTAATAGTAGAGTATTGGGTGAGGTGTCAAGTCTGAGACACTAGACAAAGCTAAGTAGACAACCTGATTGACAGCACAAATTCCGCCTATGAGGGCATGACCCTCTGTGGTTTCGGTATGAAAAAGAGGAAGCGACTTTAGCTGACTAACGCAACTATCTTACTCACTGTTGTCATGCGTAATTACAAAACCTCAAACAAGATAAGATGTCATGGAAACTGATTCACATCACCATCATTTGCAAAACTCCACTCTGAGTTACGGGTTGAGGCAGGTAGCTCTGAGTAGCCTCTGGAGAGGATTTGTTTTGCAGGCTCAGCACACAGAGTTGAAGTGAAGCATGCAGTATGGGCGTGGGAAGTTTGTATGTTTTGGCATGTGTGGCCTTGTGTGTGTGTTTGAGATTTGTGTGACTGTGAGTGGTAGAGAGACACAGGCAATGAAGCAGCTCTCACCTGTGTGGTCCACAGCTGCAAAAGTAGAGCTCTTTTCTGCATTTCTGCATCCACTCCCTCCTCCTGCAGGAAGTCGTGGTAGCTCTGCTGCCAAGAGTTTGACCCTGACCCTCCGCTCAGACAGTTTGGGGACAGCAGCTCCCACAGTCGCACCCGGCATGAGTTGGCTGTTTTGCTTTCCTCTGTTGAAGACCCAACATACGGTCATGCATACTTACTGTGCTGTACACACATGAAACCAGAACAGGAAAGCAAAAGTAAAACAAATTGACTTTTTATTCGCTATTGTGCGGCTTACCTCGCTTGAGTGAGCAACGAGCCAGTTTGGCGAGAAGATCATCAAACTTGCGAAATTCTTTGTAGACCGCAGAAGCATTGCCTCTCCTCTCAAACAATGTACGATACCCGGCCCTGAGCACAACAATCAAGTTGAAGATCTTCCTGCCTGTCACTCCTGGTAGTATAAACAGTGACATAATTTGATTTATGTTCATGTTAGAGGGCTTGACACTCTGTGTGTTACCTGAAGAGAAGGCTGTAACAAAGGTTAAAGAGTCCATCCTGCCTCCACTCTGAAGGGTTGCAGTCTTTCTGGTCTCTCAGCAGCAGGTTCTGAAGGTGAGTGTTCATGGAGCTGCTGAGGTTTGAGAGACTGACACCTTGAAAATGCCTGAAGGAAATAATAAAAATACATTGAGACTCGCAATCCGCATTTAAAGCAGAGTTTGTCTTATCATTTTGTGAAACATAAAGTCTGTGTTTAAAAGATGCATTCATTACTGTTCCATCCACTGCCTCTCTGCTCTAGGTTTGAGACTCGGCAGCTGCAGACTGAAGATCCTTTTCATGAGCTGGTTTCTGCTGCGGGTGAAGTCCAAGAGGACTGTGTCGTTCATTACGGCATCGAAAGAGCTTGGATCCAACAGCACCGTCACGTAATGACCAGCAACACGGACCTGGGAGGACATCATTTTAGTTTGTCCGATATCCATTATTTTAAATTGCAATATTTGAAACAACTCTCATTCGGGTTTTTCTATCCAAAAACAATCGTCTCATTGTTTGTCCTTAATTTGAAGTTATGTGGAATGGTCAGTGTTTTGCTCGAAGACATTCAGTGAAACACTATGTTCTATATTGGAATAATAACGAGTGGCAGTGGCCTCTGCAGAACTAACTTCAGATATATTCATGTCATGTGAAAACCTGATTTAAATTTTCCTCCTGTATGTAAAAACATCCATTACATATTTGTTTCTTCTCCTATTTGGCAGTCAAATGTTCCAACACAGTCTTTATCAGAACTTACTGTGAAAATATCCCCATGTCTGTCCTTCATCCGGGCCAGAAACTTTGCAGCATCTTTTCCAAACTCGAGAGCGTGGCCCAACCACGGAAGGAATCCTTTGTCCAGAGGAGGCTCATTATTCTGTCTGTGAAGTATGAGGAAACTCGTTAAATTGACAACAGTAGGAAGTTTCACATTTGTTCGGGAACACCTCGATCACATTCAATGATCACATTCATACATCTGCTGGCCACTGAGCAGCTCCAGCGGCCTCGCTTGAGGGAGAGCAAGCGATGCTTTTCACTTTGCTCACCCAGGTTTTTCCTGCAGGTGGTTTCTCTGACCTTTAGTCCACCACTGTGAATGTGATTAAGTTGTTTATCTATTCGTTTATAAATCTTAACTAACAGGTTTGGAGTCAACAGCAAGGCATGTAATGAGAGCATTCTATCGTGAGGTTGAAACACAGGCCACAGTGTAAACGATAAGAATCATTTTGAGTTTTAAGACAACTAAATGCAGAGAATCAGGGTTTCACAGTCAGCATTGTTCAAACATACAAATTCTATCAGTCAGATAATATATGAGTTAAGAGGCATTCTAATATAAGTATTACTATTCATTAATGCATTTGATTCATATTAAATATACTTAACTTTAGAAAATAGCTAAACTAAAGTTTTTGCAGTATTTTGCAGCCCTTCAGAATCTATCACAATCTCTGAAATGCACCTTTGCTAATCATCTAATATCTGCAAATATCAACATATTAATAAAAGGCTTTACCTTGTGCGAGTGGAGTAGAGGAGAACTAGTATGAGCAGTCCATTGAGTAGTAAGAATATTGTCCACAACATGTTTCAGTGAAGTCTTACTTGTCCCGTCCTGTGAGATAATTTATTCCATAGCTGCTGGCAACTGAGCTTTATGTTTGAGCCCTGCTCAACCGCACCTACTGCTTGTTAGGAGGCGTGGAAAGGTGTGGCTTGTGACACAAAGTGTTGCGCAACACTCTTACAGAACTCAGTGTCCCACACCACAGAAACCATCACATTCTGAGTGACACTTAACTATTTAGAGTTTCAACACTTTCCAGAAGAAGGTTAAACATCCTGCAAAAAATCCTTCATTCGTGCACAGAGAAGCCACCTGGCAGAACATTTCCCAGCAGTGACATCAGCGAGGTAAAGAGACTGATGTCAGGGCACACATATTTCATGGAGGGTGTCATTGAGTCAAGTTATCATGGTTTGTTAAAATGTTCCTATGACAACATTCAATTCCCTTTAATATTGTGAAATGTTTATTTTTACGTCCCATAAAAACTTCCAGTCAGAGTGAAAAGTATTTACTGATGACACTGTCTGCCAAACTGAAACCAATGATTCATTTAGTAAAAGCTGTCACAAGATTTGTTTTATGTGATACTGTGATGCTATTAATGGGGTTTTTTTTACTGGGAAATGAATGAATGACCAATGTGTCATACCTTAATAGATATGATACCTAATTCTTATGAAAAATGGCAGCAAAAAGAGGAATGGTACAAGTCCTCTGCCTGCCAGCAGAGGGCAGTCGTGCACTAACAGTGGCACCTTTCAGCAGTGAAGCAGTGGAGACTGTTCAGAGGAAAATCGTACAAGTCAACAACATATTTAAGGAAAGTTACAGCAAGACCTCAGTAACCAGAGAACCAAAGAACACGGACACATTAAGAGGAAACGAAGACGTATCCATGTTACCTCGGATAGCTTCTCAACACTATGTAATCACCGCGTTAGTCTGCTGCTACTGTTAGCATCAAGTGTGCTCTTCGCTAACGGACCGTACCAGCAACAACAACCTCACGTTTCCATTCCGACGGACAATGTGCACGAGTTATCAGAAGATGAACACAAACAAAAACATTCCTGTTTCCTGTCTCTAACTATTGTACAAGACAACTTCCATACATTACAGATTCTGACCCCAGCTGACTGCCATATTTTACGCTAAAAGAGATTACAATTTAACAAAATATTGACATTATTATTATTATTATTATTATTAATAACATATAGAAGACAAATTCATGCAAATGAGATGTGCCTGTAGCTTGTGAAATATAACGCCTTTCTATTTCCAGATACCATAGGAACACAAAACACACACACACCAACTGTATCCTGAAAATTAATCAGTAAAGGTCAAATAAAACTCATTTGATCATGATACTTTTTAAAATAATTTTGGAATACTCTTTAGAAAGCTTACATTTTTAATTAAATGAATGAAATATTCTATATATATTATTTGTACAGTACATTTAAATCACACATAATAGCCACATTGATCACATATGATTTCATAAAGCATCACTCTCACCTTCCCTACACACACGACAGTCCGAGATATAGTTCTGTCATAACAAACAGTATATATTAAAATCATCATGTAATAATTTCAGAATATGTTAATTCATTAATTAATGTTGAAAAAAAGTTGTAAAAAAAGGATACATGTACACTGTCTAATGCTTTCTAATCAAGTCTAAATCAGACTTTAGTCTTTAGATTTCTCCCATGGGAAGGGAAGGGACCAGGAGTACTGCCAGCCAATAAAGCCAGCCTTGTAGGAATAATGGTGTTATTATGTTAATAACCCTAAACTGCCTGTTTCATAAAAGATGGGTGTGGTGCACTAGAAACCAATCAACTTTAATCAAACAGCCTCTGGTATGAACAAACATAGAATTTCACATTCAATTTCACATACAACAAGATGTTACATGTAACAGTTTGCTCAAAACATTTACACCCATGTTTAAATGTCTGGTGATTTGAACCCGGACATACACACACTTTCTTTAAAAACCAATCATTTCTAAGTTAGGGTGTACTTTTAAGCCAATTATTAATATTTCTACATATCAGTTCTTTAAAAAAAACAAGTGCCACTGAGCAACTTTTATAGGACTGAATGGGGCGTAGTGTTACGGTTGTCATACAAAATATGAGCCTTAACTAAATTAATAATATTTTAGTTTATGATTGAATAGTAAACACATACATATACAGTCAGTGTAAAGTCATCATTCCTTAAAATGATAGAATTGACATAGGGGACGTTAGGTATATTCCTGAATACCTTCACAAAGACTGCTGTAATTTTGACACTTACACAGCGAGGAATCTTTATTAGCCTCCTGAGGGAAACTAATCTTCTCTAGGTGAACCATGTAATGATCATTCCTCCCGTAAAGGCCTATAATTGGATGGTGCGAAAGTTTCCACGGCCTAGTTAGACCCAGCTTTTTCACATTATTTTCAAACCAACCCCAATTTTTATCAGGCTTACTCTGAGATTGAATCGTGACAGACGCAGGGTTGGTCCTGCAGATTTCTCCTGGGCTCTCTCCCAGCTTTAACAGTTGTCACAGGCTGACAGTAGCCCACAGATTTCCTGAGAAATTGGGTGAAAGGCAGAGCGGGATAACTTGACACAATTCAAAGTGCAGTCTCAAAACGAGAGTGCTCAATTATCGCTGCCCTTTGCACCAGTTCACATTGCTTTGAGACAAAACACATTTGGTGAAGTGATGAAGATGGAGGACGTTCGCACTTGGGAAGCCACAGGAAGTTATTTGACAGCATTTGTCAGAAAACTGTGCAGCAGTGAAGAGCGCTGAGAGGGAGAAAGAGCAGAATGACACATTGAGCCATCATTTATCTGGGGAGATAATCCATCATCTTTATCTAAGTGTTGGAGTGGAGAATGGCTTCAGTCAGTCATTTGTAACCCCTCAGTCTCTTCCACCCAGAAGCCTGTTTTCTGTGTTGTCAGTTAGTTGTCTCATTCAGACCCAAGAAGAATCCACAACTCCAGTTTTGCTGATTTCAAAGTCTAAATTGTAGTTTTGTAGTATTATTTCCTCTATAATTGTGATTTTGTGATGGTAAACTGATCTACACAGCAGGCTACACAGTAATATCAAAGATACTGTGGTGAGTTCACAGCTCAACATTGATAGAACGGCAGATCTTTAGTGGTCCTTAGACGATGTTTTATCCAGATGCAATGAGTAGTCGACTAATCAATTAGTCTATCGGCAGAAAATTTGCCTGCAACAATCTTAATATTCGATTTAGTCATTCCTTAAAGCAACAATGTCAAACATTTGCTGATTCCAGCTTCTCAAATATGAGGATTTGATGCTTTTCTTTGATAGTAAAGTGAATATCTTTGGGACTGAACAAGACATAGGAAGATGTCCCCTGTGGCTTTGGGAAACCATAACATAATTTTTCACTATTTTCTGACGTTTCATATACAAAACAAATTGATTATCTGAGAAAATAATGGTCAGATCAACTTACAATTACAAAAATAATCCGTAGTTGCTGCCCCAGTGTTACCATATGTTTGGTCAGTTGTAACACATTTTGAAACGGAAATGCTCCTGCAGTCTTCGAGCCCTTATGGTACCCATCAACACTTATAATCACGAGACAAAGATCTTGTTGTTTTTCACAATTATACAGTATCATATTTTGGTAGATATGGTGGTCATACCTACTTCAAGTGATGAGTGTTCCAGTAACAAATGAGCACATATGTCTTCAAAAATACAAGAATGCATCTTTTTATTTGCATTGCAGTATGAAGACGCCAGTATTTCATAACAGTCCTTCTATGTCTCAAAACTATGTTAGGAATGACCGGATCTATTATAAATACATAACATAATGCCTAACATTTTAATTTGAACAACAAACGGCTGACTTTATTGGACAACTACATCCTGAGTTCTGCAGTCAGAAAGGTTAGCAACTGATGTACTGGAAACAGAGCCCTCACATTGTAATCAATAACAAACTATGTGCATTCCTTCAACTGTGGAGTAACAGCAATTGGAAAAATGTTTTCATATCAGTTCACTCAAACAAATCTTAAATCATCCATGAGGAGAACAGTGGTCAAGAAGGGAGGGGGTAGGGGGAGGAGTCTTAGATTGACTTTCACATCCATTCAGCCTTTTTGCAGCAGCAGCAGCAGCAACATTGAACTTGCAGATAGAGGGAGAGAAGAAAAAAAAGAAGCAGACTGAACAGACTGCAGAAGGAGCTCAGTGCTGTTACCGCCGAGGCTGCCGTAGCTGTTTCTCTCAGCTCTCACTCCAGGCTTTACGAAATGTACATCAGACGTGGATTGTTTCCCGATTTACTGAAGAGGTTCTGGTGAAAAGGAGTGGTCAGGGACGGAGATCATGATGCACTTATAGGTTCGACGTCGCCTTGAACGCAGCAGCGCAGCAGCATCGCCACAGAGCCTCAACGTGCGGTTGATTTCCGAAGTTTGTGTCTAGCGGGCGGATGATTCTCATCTGATTGCTCAACTATCTGGAGAGGACTGCAGACGGGCAAACGCTGCATTGTGGCAACCGAAGACGCCGATTCCTGCCCGAGGATTGCGCAATCCGCTCTCCCCCAAAAATGTCATCTCATGCGAAAGTCAAGAAGGACAAAGAGATTATTGCCGAGTATGAGACACAAGTGAAAGGTTGGTCAACGTGCAAGCCTGATCGTATTGTTGCTCTGCGTGTCAGGGCGCTATTGCGTAACTTTACCACACGCTTTATATGGCTTACAGTGTGCAGTGCTTTGGGGCGGGACAGATTGCATAGTTATAGATGACAGCCATTTTTTTTTTTTACACATCTCTTTTGGAAAATGTCTCATAAATTCATGTAATTTACTGTCTTTTGGTTTCAGAGTAATATTTAAATCCAGAGATGTATTGATTAAGATGCAACTTGGCTGAACTGGTTTGTCTGTGCTGAAGATGTCTGTCGCTCATTAACATGCCAAGCCCTACATGTGTGGCCATGTAGCTTACATGGATGATGTGTTTCAAAGTGCAGCTGGTATTTCCGTGAGACGGTTCTGATGCTGCACACCCAACAAGGGAATGTATCAATTCACCTTGTGCAATCTTTCCAGTGGACTGGAGGTCATGCACCTCAGGTACTCGTACAGAATATTTTGAGACATCAAGGGTACATTTTACAACTTCTTCCTAGAAATGAAGGTTGAAATATACTTAAAATGATAATATGGTAACCTGGCATATGTCTTTTTAAAAGACAATACGAGCAATGAGTATTCCAGGACAATGTTAATAGTATACGAAGGGAAAGGGAATGCTTGAAAAGATCACACAGCAAACAGTTCAGAAAGTCCATAAATAATGTATGCTGTCTGTATGAATTATGAACCATGAAAGGAATTTACTGTCTGCCGCTAAATATGTGACTAGATGAACCACCCAGAGAGAGAGAGAGAAGAGAGTCAGGAACAGTGCCACTGTATTGGAACAGACAGTGCAGGATGTGTATAGGTGGGTTGTCCTCTCAGGCCTTTAGAGACGACTTCAGGCGGCGTGAACTTTGACACTTCGTGCATCACCCTCTCACAGTTGTGGTTATGCTAAGTGTTAAGTAGGATTTATTCACAGACACAGACAGGCTTTCTTCTAAAATAAGTTGACATTTTAAACCTGCATTTCAGATTGAAGTGTAACTAAAGGAATATCTTAACTTTTGTTAGGCCTATTTGACAGTTGAATGGCAGAGCAAATGTATGTAGCACGTCATATAGACTAATTTCAGTTTTTTACATGTTTTTAAACCAAATAAAGTTGGATGAGAAGATCAACTCCACTTTTATACGTGTGCGCTAAATATAAAGCTACAGTTACTGCAGTCAGCTTTGCATAGCAAAATACTGAAAGCAAGGCCAAACAGCTAGTATTTCCAAGAGTTCAGTACACAGTACACTTGTTGTTTTCACACACAGTTCTTTGTACAGACTAAACAGAAAAGATCTAATGTGTTGATTAGTGAGTTGTAGAGGTGCTTGTACGCAGATTTTTTCTTTTGTTATCTTTGGACAGAGCCAGGCTAGCTGCATCCAGTCTGTATGCTAAGCTAAGCTAACTGGCTGCTGACTGTAAGCTCATATTGGACATCCGGACATGACATCTTATTTCAGAGAGGGGAGCCTATTCTACATTACATCATATAATATTTTACTTATCAGACTCAGCAGCCACAACAGTTCCCTTCTCCCAAAAGAGCAAATTTTGCTGCTACGATTATTATTTTCTTAATCTTGTGCATTCCTGCATGTATGAACTGCACTGATTTAATTAAATTCAAATGAAGATTTTCCTATTCATTTTATATCCAAATACACATTAAACAATAATACAAAAACAAAACAAAACACTATCTGTTTGTACAGCTCATATTTATTTTAAATGACTTTACTGTCTCAGTCCAGGAAAAAAAAAAACATTTGAATGTATTTCAAATCCACGAAAGCATGTAGAAATTGGTGTAACGGTGATGCCACTGAAGGCAATATTGTTGTAGATGAAGTCAATAGAATATCGGTGCAAACACATATGTAAAAGTTGTATCAAAGTCCTACTCTTCTTTTACAGACTTGATGAGACTTTACTGCTGTTGAAGACTTTAAATAGCAGAAATGGCCAAACATTGTCAGCATTTGTCTGGAATGAAGAGTATGATTAGCATTTTATAGACAGAGGTGTGGTTTATGTTCTCCCCGTCTTCTCTTTTGTCTGTTTATTTGTTTGACTCTCTCTCTCTCTCTCTCTCTCTCTCTCTCTCTCTCTCTGGTCTCTACACCAGTGTTGTGGCTGTGAGAGAGCCATCACAGTCTCTCGTCTCAGTTTCAGGAAAAGCTTTTAAGCTGACATCTTAAGCTCATTTGCAAACTGGGCTGAGATCAGTTTGGAGCTGTGGGGGCTTTACTCTGACACTGACACTGGCCTCCAATACTGCTGAGTTGCTGACTGCACAGCAGTTCAATCAGGCACACAAACCTAATGCACTTTGCGGTATTTTTCAACTTGCCACATTTTCAGAAAACAGCGGGGTCGCATTTAAACAGTGGTTGTTGGTGTGTGTTGTGAGCCTTTACAGGTCTGGGCCTGTATTAGTGATGCATAGTGATTGTCACATATCATTCTTGATTTATTGATGACTGAATAGTCACTCTGCTTTGTATCACAATGTTCATCATTAATGTCATTATTTAATCATTACCAGAAGCTGAAATTGTGTTTCTTTTTTGTGACCAAAACATGATTGTGACTCCTGAATCGCACTGAATGCAGGTTTGGTTTTACAGAGTTAATATGTTTCCTTCTAAGGAGTGTAGTTGATCAGCCTAAGATATCTCTAAGCGTCCCGCTGATCCAGAAAAACAAAACGCAAGGAAATGAGAGATACTCTTCATCATAGTGTACTTCTAGCTCTAGGCCACATTCTCTTTAGTACCATTTCATCTGTTTGGAGCCGAGCCGTTTAACTATCGTGCACAAATTGCTCTAATTGGGTAATATTTAAACCATTTATTGTAAGAGGTGCAGTTGCTAAGGGAACATGTAGAAATGCGGAAGTTATGCAACATTGACTTTACATGGATATATGTCCCTCAAACATTATGAAAAAGAAGTGAAACAGGGAAGCCTGTGATACTTTGTAATACATTTGTAATGTTTTTGTTGCTTGTCCGATTGCGAGATTTGGTTGTACTGACTTGGTGACAGTCCGACTGTCACAAAGTTGCATCTCACTCCTACTGCCACCATATTCACTGCAGAGATGCATTCCACAAGGAGCATGTAGACACAGCCCTCTGTGTGGATTCATCATAATGAAAGAATGCCTCGACTGATACTGTCGTGAAACGTCAGGGTTGCGACAGTGAAACTATATCTTTTGTCTCCATGTCTTGGTACCACTGTTGCTCTGACGACAGATACATACCAAGAGTTGAGCGACATGAGATTTAAAGAGAGAGACGCTTTAAATTCCGCTCACTACATCCTGGATTTTCCTGTCCTGTGGTTGCACAAAGAGCGATGCCTTTTCTTTTTGGAGATATTTGTATGGAGAGCGAGAGACTCTAGCAAATAGGCAGTAAAGGCATACCATAGCCATTACTGCATTCTGTGAACACAGCCTTAATTTGTACCAAATTATGTCAACGTGTCAGTCTGGGTTAGGCCACATGTGACTAGCCACGCATGGCTAACTGCAGACACCGCCGCAGTGCCTTCTGCTGGCCGTTGCCATAGCTGTGCTAGGCTAATTTGAGGTACCGTGGTGACAAGGACTCCTCACTATGTGATATTTTGGTGCTCTCTGTTGCAGTGCAGGGGCCTTACTGGCAACCCCGCAAGGCAACAGTGACCAATAATTCCCCCATTTAGTTACATCAGAGATCCAGGCACGTAGCCTCTACAGGCATGCGGTGTTTGAAGTTGGCACTCGGATGTGGTTTGTCGTTTCGAATGTGCACAGTAAAAGAAGAGCTCAAGGCATCATAACAGCTGAGCTCAGCTAGGTGCTTTCCTTTTCAACATTCAGACATGACTGTCTGAAGGATGGGGGTGACGCAAATGATGTTTCAGTTGAGGGACATTCTGTCCAGTATTTGGGTGGCTTGAGTTTAGTTTTATGTATTCAAAATACTTTAACACGACTGTGTTTAAATTATCCCAATGCTCAATCACTGATTAAGCATCTTGAGAAGTTCTTTTCATCTGCTTCAGTGTTACCCTCAGGACTCTGGTAAATAATGTATGTTCCTAAAAATGCTTGTTAAAGTCACTAGAACATAACAGGATGTTAACCATATGGGTTAGGAGAAAAACAAACAATACAAATGGGTAAAGACCTATTAGTGAAATTTCAAAGAGCCTTTGCGGGTGGGACATCTTAGTCCTTTTGGCTGCACTGTTCCCAGGCAGATAACCTGGTGGAGCATACGACTCTGTATTCCATCTAAAGACATCTGTACCATTGTGTCATCAATGAAAAGATGGAGAAGAGGCTGCGTTTAGATTTTTGAGGCTTAGTTCTCTTCATATTATTCACTTGAACTCCTCGCCAGCTTCCTGGTAATTATGCATTACTCTGCAACGGCTTGAATCATTCATCGAATGAAGCGCAGTATCGCACAGTCCCTAGTAACAGTTTAGGTTCTAAAAATAACACGCTCTCAGGAGAGCGAATGCAAATATGAGTTTATTTGATGCGTCGCTGATAAAACTATGCAGTTAAATCAATTTAGATTTGCTCATTGATGGCCTGTTCTTTTACTCTGCCACCGTATGATTAGGAGAGATTAAAGTCACACACAGGCCAGCACATTGTGTTGTCCAGTGGTCTATTTTAGCACAGGAGTACATTGCAGTGACATTTATTTCTATTTTAAACTTGATTGCTGCCTCATTCATCAGCACAGGCTGTGTATTGAGTATTTCAAAGCGGAGAAAGTTGCCCTCGTCTTTGGCCGTTATGCTAAACAGACTGACTGCTGCGACTGTCGGAACAGGGGAACTGGCCGGCTCTCATTGAGATGCCTCCAGAGGCGTAACCAGGCAACAGGGCAACTATGGGGACCACGAGGGGTACGTCTCCAAACAGCAAGGGACTACATATTTACTCTGTCTTTCTCCCTCTCGCTCTTTCATTCACATTTTTCGCTCACACACTTGCAGACGATGGGGGGGAGACATGTTTGAAATCCTTTTATTGTACAAACAGAAACCGCATTTAAAAAGTGAACAAGGGGACTCTTCTTCTGCTGGGCAATCTTCTTCCATTGGTGCATTTCTACAGAGATTCTTTCAGTGTGCAGCAATCATGTGCATGGTTGAAACAGTCTGTCATAATGGAATCTTCAGCCATCTCAATGTTGCTTAACTGCTTCTTATTGTCTGGAAGAGAGGGACGCTTTGTTCCCCCCCGCGTGTGTGTTTGTGTGTATAATCCACAGTTGTGAGCTAAAAATTATATTGTGACGATTTTAACAGGAATTAAAAAAATAATGAGGCCTAGAAGTAGGTGTGGACCTGTACAGGTATGACTGGAGTCAGCCACGTGAACGTATCCTCATCAACCTCCTGATAGTGATGTCAACCATATCACTCGGCTCCAGGCTCTGATATGATTCATGGTTCGTCTGCAGCAACACATTCAGCAGCCACTTAGCCACTGGATTTATGACAGCCTTGCAATAAACAGTATACGGATGAAATAAAATGTTATTTGTATTCCTTTTCGGTGTTAATGTAAAACCGTAAAAGACATGTTATTACGTCAGTGGACGTTTTTATCACCTGGAATCCCAGAGGTCAATGGGAACAGCCAGCTATACCAGGACAAGCTGCCCAGTAGGGAGTCTGTGGATATTTATTCCCTTCATTTTAAAAACCTAGATTAATTAACTCTATTCTAAATACACAAGTATTTATTAAAGGCAATTCATTAAGCCTACCTTACTTGAACTTGAACAATACAAATGCAAACAGGATATACTGTATTTAACCAAAGTGAAATATTCTTCAAACAATAAAAAGATTCTATTTGTAAATGCCATATCAATCACATTTTCACAATTTAGACCAAAACATAATTCTTCCACATTCTTCTCATAGGAGCAGTGAGTTTTCAAACCTCATAAGCAGAAAACCACAGCGATCATATAATCGAAAGAATGCCTGCAATTTGTTTTTTTCAAGACAAACTTCTCCAAAGGCTCACTCTGCACAACGCATTTTGAGAAGCTGACCTATTTTATATTTTCCGTCCTGTCTGCTGCAATCATCAGACATGCATCTCATATGCATGTGCTACCCCAGCATTTAGACACCCCCACACTCCCTCCCACTACACGCAACATGCACTCGCACATACACACAGCTGACAAATGCACTTTGACATCCTTTTTTATCCAATTATGATGACTTTGTTTTTTTATTGGTGCTTATGCTTGACTGTGCCGTTACATCTTTGTATTTACTTCATCCACTGCTAAAGGACTGTGGGTTAAATGCTGACCTGCAGCACTGATTGGCAGTCAGCAGTGAGACCCAGCACGTAGGCCCACTCTCCCAGAGAGGCTGTATTTATTCTAAAGGTGGTCTCTCCCTTTGTTGATATTCAGAGATCCGTAACCAGCTGGTGGAGCAGTTCCGTTGTCTGGAGCAGCAGTCTGAGTCCCGGCTGCAGCTGCTGCAGGACCTGCAGGACTTCTTCCGTCGCAAGGCCGAGCTCCAGCTAGAGTACTCCAGAGGCCTGGACAAACTGGCCGAGCGCTACTCTGCTAAGATCCGTACTTCAAGAGAGCACCATCACTTCAAGTGAGTCCTAAGCACTGGAACGTCCCTATCGAACGGGTTTGACCGATAAACAACTGTTACGTATTTCGTACTGATCACTGGCATGGCACAGAGAGATGGGAAACAATAAAAGAGAAAGCCAGAGGAGGGATACACAACAAAGAGGAGAGGAGGGATAAAACGGGAGAAATGACCTGAAATGAAGCCAGGGCCAAGGAAGCTTGTGGCCTAAGGCTGCTGTGTTCCTCCCAACTAGGTCAGACCCCCCCCCCCCTCCACCCGTCTTTTCTTTGTGGTTGTCATTTCATTTCCATTCTCACACTACACTTCACACGAGACAGCTACCCCAAATACTCATCTTTTCTCAATGGAGGCAAAAAACAAATTAGAGCTTTAGTGAGGAGTCTAACAGCAGCAGTGTAGGTTATTTTACTTGTTTTAAATGTTTGTGGTCATGAAACAAACATACCCTACAGCATGTTGAGGAATTGCTGCTTAGATGCTCGGACCAGCCTGCAGCTCGCTGTGACTTTCACGTGATATATACGCTGTATACGCTGCCCATGGCCATGTGGTTAATTTGAATCAGTGGTCATGAATAAGGGGAAACGCGTGGTCAAAATTAAGTTACAGTACATTCAATGAAAATGTTTAGCCTTGGAAATGGACCAACTAAGGCTGCTAAATGTAGTTGAAACTTCCTGAAAAAGCAAATATTTGGACATTAAGATAATATGTCAAATTTACATCTATTTGAATCTGCTGGTCTCTAATACCCGATGCAGTAGTATTGAATTAAGAGTGCAGGTAATCGATTTTACCTTACAGTAGTGCTCTATAGTAAAGATGGTATAATTGATACTTAAACAGCTGCACACCGTTTCATGTGACCTGGCTGTGTCAGTCATGCGTAACAAACATGTTGGTTTATTCAAGTCTCTCCGTTCCTCTTTCAGTCTCTCCGACCAATTGGACATAAAGAGTAATCACGGCGAAGAGCTCCCGTCACTGCGACGTTGATAAATGGAGCATTCCCTCAAAGGGAGACCCCTGGAAGAGAGTCTCCTTGCATGACTTCTCTCTACACCCTGCTGTCCCAGATTCTCCCCCGTCACATTAAATGGTCATCATTATATCTGTCAAAGGCCAGATTCACGCTCACAGACTACAATGGACAATTAATAATCCCACGCGGTCTTCTGGCTCTGCAATCTCTCGTTTAATTTTCCTTTTTTTTTTAACGGCAAAACCTCAGTGCCCTTTTTCTTATCAAGGATCCGTTCAGATTTTCATTCCTGATGTCCGATCTAATAAAATGGCTGGCAGGAGATTGTCAAGGAACCTTTTTAAAAAACGCCTTTAATAGAACCTCTGCATCAAAAATAGGATTATAGGAGAACATAATTTATATCCAATATGTTTTACAATAGTTAATAGATGCAGAATGTGTTTTTGTAGTGTCGGCTCACTGTAGTTCAGCTGGCTGGTGCTACTTTATGATGCAGAGACCTTGTTGTGATACTGTATTGCTGTACGTTTTGTAGGCTGTCGTGAAGAAAAGCTTCTTCTGTCATCTTTCATAAGAAGTTCTGCATCGACTTCATTATGTCCTGAATTTTACGGTCTCATCCTTATTCAAGAGCAGCCAACAGCCAAAGATTTACAGTCAGGCTCCTGGTACCCCATGTACAGGATCAAACACCTGCTCTGCTTTAAAGGAGGGCCTATAGGGATAGCTTGTTCATGTTCTTTTTTTTTTTTTATCAAAGTGTTAAAGGATGAAAGGATCAGATATGCTAATGTCCAGCACTTGGAATTACCTTTAGCATCACAAATGCAACTCTTTTCACTTGCCGTCAACGCTTCTCATTGTTGTAAACAGAACTAGAGAGTCAACACTATGTATTAATCTAACAGTAATTACAGAGAATATAGATTACAAATGTTGCATTCAGACCTCGTACGAATAGCAGATGAATGTGGTTTTGACTTCTGAAAAAGAATATCAATTAACTTATTTTACTGGTATTTAGGCCAGTTTCAGATTAAATTTCAGTGTTGTTTTGGATACATGGAGGGAGCTACAGTGTGGCCTTCTGTAATCGTGTGGAAACTTGCATAGATGAAGATCAGAGTGAACTTCACCAAGATAGGAAAACAGTCATTATTCACTTCAAAAAGAAAATAAAAGCATGAATAAACCTCTCCAAGGATAGAATGATCGAAGTGTTAAAGCAGTCAACAGAAAACAAGTCAGGACAACTCTTTCAATATAAGTCAAAAATAGCTGCTGCGTTTCTGACTCAAACTACAGTCGAAGATGATGATTTCAGCAATGATTTTCAGAGTCTTAACATTTACGTGAATCATTTACTAGCCATTGCTTTCCAGACAGCATTTGATACTGTAGCATGTAGTTTTTGAGAGGATTCATATTCTTAATGGTATATGATTTTTTTCGGCCACATAAAGTTGCATGTTACCATATTCACAGAAACAAATGCAGTGATAGTGTATTATTTGACCAGCAGAATAATTAGGGACCCAGAATATAACTTTGCGGTTCTCCGCGCCAGAAAATAGAAATGGAGAATGCACAATTACTTGGATCAACGGAAAGACGTCTGACATAAATATGCAAAGTAAGCCTTTTTGGAGCCACAAAAGGTTCCTTAAATTCAGTTGTGAAAGGTGCTATGACCAGCCATGTGAAAAGCTGAATAAATATACTAAATATATACTGGGTAGGAAGAAGAAAGAATGAATTGCTCTTGATTATTATTACTCATTCAAGAATTCGTTGGTCATGTTTGTGATGGTCAGGATGTTGATGCTGGTGGAGCTTGGTCAGTGTGTGCGTTGGTTTCTTGCCAAAATAAGAAGTTGGCAGCTTTAAGCAAGTTGTATTTTCAAATCACAAGCAACGTAATGGTGTTCAGTATGACATGTGAGAGAATGTTAATTTTTTAATTTTGTTGAATCAACTTCTCACATAAAGAGATTACCGCGGCAGAGACATTAAGTTGGATTTGGTTTGGATCCCAGCATAGGTCATCTATCGGCCAAGAGCAAAAGGTTTTTACACATGGCTTTTAAGCAGGCAAAGTGTACAAAAACTATGACGCAGCATTTTTATATCCCAGGCACAGTTGTTGGAGGTCAGAAAAACAGTTAAAAGCTCTCTAAAGACAAAAGAAGAAGGAAAACTCTTCGGTGTGAGGATAATTGAACTCACATGCTCCCTCGAGCAGGGAGCCGAGTGCAGTCAGCATGCCTTCCTGTGTGTGTGTGTGTGTGTGTGTGTGTGTGTGTGTGTGTGTGTGTGTGTGTGTGTGTGTGTGTGTGTGTGTGTGTGCACAGCTTTCTCCTTTATTGCTGATGCCTTACTACATGTGTAGTGACCCCTTGATCTCTAATGTTTGGAGCCCCAGTACCAATGGATCAAATGTAAGAGCTGTGCGGTCTGTTAGACAGTCTTCATCATATTTTATGCTCCACAGAGTTAAACTAATCGTGCAACAATTGGCATGTTTTTTTGTGTTTGAGATGTCAACCACATTTTTTATTACCTATGGGCAACATAGTGTGTGGTCTTGATATTGCAGTTGTTTCAGTCGGGCAGTTTTATAGACATTGGTTACTGAAATGGACCAATGTTTTCATCTTGGTGAAGTCTTTCCTTCCCTGTTTCAGAAAGGACCAGAATCTCCTATCCACTGTTAACTGCTGGTATTTGGTCTTGGACCAGACCAGGCGGGAGAGCAGAGACCACGCCACTCTCAGCGACATCTACAACAACAACGTCATTGTCCGTCTGGCACACGTGGGCGAGGATGTCATCAGACTCTTCAAAAAGGTCAGAATCTGAATGAAATGAATGAGGGCATGTAACCCTGACCGTTACTAACGCACACAGTCACAGAACTTATCTGCTCAAATCGCATCACTAATGCCCACTGCTGGGAACTTGACGCCACACCAACAAAAATATGTTGAAATGTATCAGTAAGTACAGCACATTTCATGCTGTGTGGTTGTCATACAGCATAGTCCCTCTGAGGGCTAATCTAAGGCAATTCTGACTAATGACCCGCTTTGCTGTGTTATTGTCTCTTTTCGTGAATAATCATTTTTAATCGGTACTTCAATTACAGTACAGTGTTCGAATGCAAGGTCCGAAACCAGCTACTTTACAGCCTGGTTTCAAATAATGGCCATTAGGTTGTCTATTCCCACCCAACACTAGGGGTGTAAAGCACAAGTTTCATCACAATACGATATTATATTGATTCTTTGGACAACGATACAAGTTTTCACTTTGCATCGATAATATTGGATTGTTGATCACTGAATCTATGTATCGTTTGACCCCTAACCCATCACTGAGGTGTTTCCTACCTTAACGTTGCACCAGGCACTTCAGCCTCGTATCATGTGTCTCCAGTAAAGCTTAACACGGTTGGCATTGGCAAGATATTTTCTTTCTCTTTTTAACCTCCCCCATTCATCCTGTGTAGCGTCACTCTCAATATCATGCTCAGTTGGCTCCCTATTTAGATCACTAGCCTTTTGTTGACGCTCTTTGCAACTCATCACTCTTGTCCACTCATTCCATTTCACACCAAATTGCCCTTAACTAAAACTCATTCAGTAACCTGCAGAGAGAAAGAGAATTAGATGAAACTTGTGTCTTTTATTTTAAATGAATGTGTCATAGAATGCATTTTTCTAACACTCTTGTTCTGGGTTTTACTTTCACATCGCGTAAGGCATATGTACAGTGTGTAACGTATGGCACGTGTGAAAGTAGCAGAGTGCCTGTGATTCAGGGGCGGGGATGAACTATCTGCCTTGGGGATCCTAGATCAGTATCGTTTGACAGCGGCAGGAGTCTACAGTAATTTATACCCTCTCGGGGGCTCTGCACTGTCACGATGGGAGCCTTTATGAGACTGGGATGGCTTGCGGCCAGCATAAAGAGGAGGACTAATAGCTATCTGCAGGAAAACTTTCCTTCTTCAAGAAGTTAAGTCAAATTGTGACAAAGTTCTCCAAAACAATAATCCTGTTATGCTGTAGCATTGCGGTTCAGTCTCACTGCTGACGAATTACACATGTGGGAAATGGAATGAATAAACTCTGCTATTTGCTAATTCAAAGTTATACTGAATGTGCTGGAATTTAATTCTTGTCACATGTGAAAATGCAAGGTTGCTGTTTTGACAAGTGGTCCCTGAAAGGCGGCAAAAAAACGGGATTGATTGGGCTCAGCGTCGCATCGTATCCCCTCAACGGGATTTCCAGAGTCATTCTCCGCTGGCCTCATTCCTCCTCTTGGGCTATAAGCCCTGTTTTGGGACATTGGCCAATTCATCATAGGCTCTTAGCCCCTGTAACTGAGCTGAAACTGTGACACAACTCCTTGGGAAATGTTCTACAGCTACTGCGCTGTTCTATTTTTGTCTGTATGTGCACTTTGGGCATTGTATTAGATCTTTTCTGGTACAGAGTAATGACAGCATTTCAACGCCTGCTGACATCCCTCACACACAAAATATAACTGGCTTACAGTGCTTTAGTTTTTCACTTGTCGGAAGGTAATTCTGTTCGATAACCCAGTTCTTGGTCTTAGATGTTTGAATACCTGCCTTCGTTTGTTCTTAAAATTAAACTATCACCTGTTTTTCTCTTTTACAGAGCAAAGACATCGGGGTGCAGATGCACGAGGAGTTGGTGAAAGTCACCAATGAGCTCTACACCGTGAGTAGAACAGTTGTCATTGCCCCTTCATGCCTAACCTTTCTTTGCTGACAGCAACCTGCCTGTTTTGCCTTTCCCCTCTGTTAGCCTGTCGTCAAGCCAGAGCCTTTTTCAGACCTGTAACCTGTGAAACAGCTGGCCTGACACTGCACAAGGCCGATATGCCTTATCAGCAATGCAGCCTCTAACAGGTCATTTCGTCCATCTCCTGAGGTCGTGAGAGGAGAACATTTGCATTCTTCCTCCCTCTGTGAATTTCTACATCAGTTGAAGGGGAGAACGTTCTTGCCCCTGGCAGTGCTTCAAGCAGACTCAGCAGTCTGTGCTGCAGAAGTGCACTCTGCTCACAGCCAACACACAAGCTGCTGTTTTAGTTTCAGCTAATGTTGCACGTAATCACACACAGATGTTTGCGTGTTGTCACTCTGTCTATTGTTATATGTTGTACTGTACATACAACAGACACCCCGTGTAGAAACAGTGTACACGCATGGAATCAAACACACAGAAATTGTCAAGATGGACAACAGCTGTGCTCAGTGCTGATGCCTCCTCATTTGAGATAAGACCATGAACTGATGTAGTGATATCATTTGCTGTATGTGGGACAGAGTGCAACAAACACACCAGAGTGACTAGCTGGGGTCGTAAATTGTATAGAATTTAATTCTGTACAGGTAAAAAAGACCGTACGCTTATTTTAAGATACTCTAGTCTCTCTCTGCCTAATTCATTATTTTATTTTTGAAAACTCCACCTTTGGCTACTTGCTGCTGCACAGCTACTTATCTGCATTACATCCACATTACATTGTGTTTGTTTGCATAACCAAACACAAACCATGATAATATACATAATATTATTGGAAGCTGTTTAATTGCAGTGCAATTTCAGTGATTATTGACGAGTAGTCCCACTCATTTTAAAAGGATGTTTGGTACAAGTGAATATGCTCCGACTCGCTAATACTAATATTCCTACATGTAACATTATACAGCACTCTACTGCTTTGCTGATATTGATTTTTCCTCTCTCTTTGGTTCATGCATTATTAAATGTCTGTCTGCAGCTGCTGAGCCACAGCATAGGAAATTGCAGTAGTCTGTTAAGATTTGGGCTAGATAAAGTTATACAGCTGAGATGAACTTGTATAATTTGTATTATCAGTTTTGAGTTAAATGCTAAATCAGCTATTCGATGGCTTCATTGTGTTCAGCCTGCTGGACTCCGCTATTGATCTGCTGCTGGATTGTTGTGGAAATCAAGTAGTTTCTTGTTTCACGGGTAGCAGGGAAGGTTGCTCTCCATCACTTGGTAACCTCCTTCATCCGCTGCTGATCAATCTCACTGTCCTTTGCACGTCCGCTTCAGTCACGGTTGCTAGGAAACCAGAACTTGAGAGTGAGCGATGGAGGACCAGATGTTGTTTAATTGTGCTGTTTATTCAGGGTTTCTAGTCCAACATTTATATATGTGATCTCTTTGATACTGCTGTTAAAACATGAATCTGTTCATGACACTTTATGAGAAATTCCTCTAAAGCAATCTGACCAGAGGGGGTGTAGATTGTATTTGGAGCAGTGATGAACATTCGGATGTAGTACGAATCCCGGTGCTTTACAGTGAAAGGACCTTTTTATGTCTACTACAATGCTGTGGCGAAGACAAACGTGCACAATAACGTAGACACTTTAGACGGACGCACCCAGCACGACACCTCCAGCTCAGTAGGGAAATGTCAATCAACATGTGACTCTCCTGTGAGCAGGATGAGTAAGAGACACTCCCTGATGTCTCAGCATGTAATTAAAGACTTATATATTCTAGGGTTACATTGGGTCATTTGTAATATACACTGAGGCCTGGGAAACTTTAACCATATCATGATGTGGTACTTATGTGGTCATAAAATTACATTTTTTTATTTAACAACAATTTATACTCCTTTGGAGGAGATGGGAGAATTCGTGGTAACATTTTATATATTTATACTTTATATATCTATACATATTTTTCTGTTTCACACCCCTTTGTAGAAAGGACATTTGGTTTTATTCCAGTAGCTGTAAGACTAAAGTAAAATAAATGGTCAGTGTATAAAAGAGATGATTACACAATGTGCCTTCATGGTGTTTGACATATTTAGCCAGTTATGGATCGGCAACTGCCAATAACCCATGTATCTTTTACATTTTTACCGGTCAGTTTCCGGTAATATCACTTAAAAATCTGCCTCTTTACCAGCAGTTAAATGTAGCCGATCTCAACATAACATTTCAGCTTGAAGTTCTGCATATATCTTATATTCCTCCTCAAAGTCACTTCCTTTTAAGTTTGACTATGATGCCCTTGGTACTGAGTACAGTTTGACTGTTGTTGTTGATGACAGGTGATGAAGACCTACCACATGTACCATACTGAGAGTCTCAGTGCTGAGAGCAAGCTGAAGGAGGCAGAGAAACAGGAAGAGAAGCACATTGGCAAGGCCAATGACACTGGTTCTCATCTGCTGCGGTATGGTCATGATGAACGTTCACAGCGACGGAGCTCCGTCAAGAAGATGGAGAAGATGAAGGAGAAGGTCTGTTTTTGTCGACTGGTTGATATATGATGTAATGTGTTGTACGTTACAGGCATAATATCCACACTCGAGTGCAAATGCATTTGTTATGAACCTCTTGAATTTCACCAGTTTCCATTTGTACAAATGACACTAGAAAAAGCAGTTGAAGCTACGTCTCTACACTGTGCAAAGTATTACATATATTGACAGATGATAGCAGAGAAAATCGTATTGATGTTGTATTGCATTCTTTGAGTACATTAGGAATCCATTTTACATCCTGGCATTGACGGGACTCTCTCTTCCCCTTTCTCCCTAGAGACAAGCCAAGTACTCTGAAAACAAGCTGAAATGCACAAAGGCCCGGAACGACTATCTTCTCAATCTGGCAGCTTCCAATGCCCTGGTGGCCAAATACTACATCCATGATGTCTCAGACTTGATAGATGTAAGTAACTACTGTCTGAGACCCACTTGTATTATTCTCAGTGCTTCTTGCATAAGTTCTCTGCCTTTAATTGGTTTGTGGTAACTAAATGTTTTACTTCTTGTCCTCAGTGTTGCGACTTAGGTTTCCATGCAAGCCTGGCACGCACTTTGAGAACCTACCTGTCTGCAGAGTATAGTCTGGAGACTTCTCGCCACGAAGGTTTGGACTTGCTGGAGGGAGCAGTAGATGCCACGGACACCAGAGGAGACAAGCTGAAGTTCATGGACGCACACAGCCATTTCTTCTGTCCTCCAGCACGCTTTGACTGTCAGCCACACATGGGGGATGAGGTGAGTCACTTGGAAAAAAAGGGCTGTAAGAATGTTTTCTTTGCATAGGTCTTAGTTCCTGATACGAAATGCATCTCATCATGTTTGGTGTTCTGAATGTTAAACCTCCCTTTCTTTCTTAATCCCAGGTGTGTCAGGTGAGTGCACAGCAGCCTGTCCAGACAGAGCTCCTGATGCGCTACCACCAGCTGCAGTCTCGCCTAGCCACGCTGAGGATAGAAAATGAAGAGGTGAGAGTGCACACAAAGCTCACAGGGCTGAAGGCAGCTAGTGTCAGCATTTCATTTCAAGATCTAGCAAGCTCACTGCAAGTGTGCTGTACACAGTAATGCTCTTTTCTACTGACTCAGAAGAGGACATATGGCCAAATGTACTGAGTCATAAGTACTCGTATACAGTAAAAGCAGGGTTTCCCCCAGGAAGCCGTATAGCTGAGGTGGTCAGCCATCTTCACACGTCATCTCGTGATTCATTTAGTACATTTAGATGATGACTTAAACAACAGCCACACTCATTAAACATGTGGCTTTTGCTGTGTGACATGACACTTTTGTTTTGTTTCAGTAAAATGTATTAACTTTGACGATGTTATGATGAGAAGTGATCTTTGTGGCCCACTGCTGCTGGAAAACACTGCATGAAACCCTGAAATGGTTGTGTGTGTGTGTGTGTGTGTGTGTGTGTGTGTGTGTGTGTGTGTGT